ATGCTATCTCTGGTGTCGACAAGTCTTCCGACTTTGCAATCACAGATCACACAGACTCGAGCTCGAGGCAGCGCTTAACTTCAAAGCTAAGCGGGCACCTGATCACTTGGTTCGTTCTGCAATTTAAAAAGGAGAGGGCGGCGGTGGGGCAGACGGTTGGCCAGGAAAAACTACGGATCGGTATTGACGGCGTGTTTCGGTCTTCAGCATATCATTAATCAGCAAGCTTATACAAATGAAACGCCCAGTCCATTTTCCGCCAGGCGTGCGAAGCGATGCTATCTCTGGTGTCGACAAGTCTTCCGACTTTGCAATCACAGATCACACAGACTCGAGCTCGAGGCAGCGCTTAACTTCAAAGCTAAGCGGGCACCAACTCTTTTTGCATAGAACGACTTCTCTCCAAAAACGCCACTGGCTTCAGCCGCACCAAATTGTCTGTACTCGCTGAACTTTCTTTTCTGCAAGCGCCAGCTGGAAGCAACGGACGATGCTAGTGCACAAATCAGCTGGGTAAGCTTCGGCCAAGAGCGTGTGAAAAATGCCGTCTGCATTTTTGCCCTGCAACTGATCATGAGGGCGGCCCGTGCGGGAGCAGATCCCGCGGGGGCCACGACAGAGGCGATGTAAAGGTTGGAGGTCCACATGATCGTATATGATGCGAGTGCGCTTTCGGCACGACTGGCCGAATTGACAAAAGTCTAACACGACAGAGCGGCATTTTCTTTGCAATCTCCTGAATTGAGACGTCAGCCAAATTCTAGACATGTGAGGATTCTCAATAGCTACTGGCACGCGCACGGCTTGGCACAAAGAAAATAGCGAGGCTGAACATTTCATGAGGGCGTTGCCGATCCTAACCTTCTCAGCGTCACGGGGCGCTAGGTCGGGCAACCCCATCACGTGCAGGTCACTTCGCAAGGGCGGAGGCCCTGGTCGAATGTCCCGTGCTCGGCTCCAGCTGTGGCAAGGGGTGCCCAGCCAGACGGCAGCAATCAGCCCGTTATTGACCCAGCCTCGCACCAGGCGCTGCGCCCGCTGGCGAGTGAGGTCATACTCCTCTCCCCAGCGGATGTCCCACTCGAAAATAGCATAGCCCAGAGCGCGCTGCCGCCGTCGCCAGGCCCGGCTGAAGTTGCCGGAGCCGCTGAACACCTCGAGCGCTACGGCCCCGCCCGCGCGGGCGGCAAAGGCCGGCAGTGCTCGCAGAGGATGTCGCCATTCTTCTTGGCGCGGACGATGGCGTGGTCGAGGAACGGCGGTGGCAACTTGATCAGCTGGTCGGCGACGCGGCCCCCTTTTCCGTACCCCGTCACCGAGCTGTCGCTTGCCCAGCGGCTGCGAGCCCTCACCTCCGCGATGCTGCGGCGGTAGCAGGCCAGGTCGACGGGCGCTCCGCCGTGCCGCAGCTGGTACAGGCCCGGCGGGCCCTCGAGGCCGAGCCGCTGGTCCGCCGTGCCGAACGCCTGCGCCAGCTGCACGTACCGCACCTGCGCCACGAGGTCCCTGTCGTTGACGCCGGCCTCGAACGGCTTCAGCACGTCCCCGATGAGGTGGCAGAACGGCAGGTCGCCCAGCACGCTCTCGTTGAAGGCGTTGTCCTTGCTGGGCGTCTCCTCCTCCATCGGAAACAGCACGAGCGACCACGCGGCGTGGCCGGCCGCCCGCGCCGGCGGCACCACCTGCCGCCCGGTCAGCGACATCAGCTCCGCGGGCTGCAGGCCGAACACGAAACTCACAAAGACGAGGCGGGCGGCGTGCAGGTCCTGGTTTGCCGCGAGCCTGTGTGCCACCGCGCAGGCGACCTCTTCCGGCAGCGGCAGCTGGCTCCGCGGCGACCCCAGCCGCCTCCACCCCCTCAGCGCCCGGCTGAACTGGGGCAGCCCAGCCACGGACAGGAGCCGCGGGTAGTAGTACAGCAGCCGCGCCTTGAGCCTTGTCCCCTCCAGCGCGTCGCTGCCGTCGAAGACAGCGGGGTAGGTCCACTCCACGGCTGCCTCGTCGTGGTCCTGAGCGGTCTCGAGGCGCAGGCCCAGGGTCTCGGAGAAGATCCTGAACTCCACGAGCGCCGACTGGTAGACCCGCTGGTCGTGGTCGCCCGCGCTCTCCCTCTCGAGCAGCGAGAGGCCCTCGCTGACTGCCGCCCGCTTGTCCACGGGGAAACTCGTTTGCCGGGCAGCGGCGCGCTCCCCCCTCGTGGCCAGCTCCTCGGGCCGAGGCTTGGCTTGTCTCGCCGCTGCCTTTGCCCGGGCCCGCCCATGGGGTGGGCGCGGTCGCGCACCAGCCTGTGACAGCGCCGCCGCTCGCCACAGGGTCGGCGGCTCGCCCTGGACGGGTCGCCGCTCCGCAGCCCCGCCCGGCCTCACCAGGCTGTCGGTCGCCAGGACCGCATCCCACGGGGCCGACGGGATCGGGGCACCTGCGAGTGGCCGCGGGAGGCCGGTCGTCATCCGGCTCAGGCAGACCTGGCGGAGGCCGAAAGCACCCAGGTTTGAGCCCAAATGGCTTCGGCTGATAGCGACGAGAAGGCTCGTCGGCCACATTCAACTCAGACCGAATCCACCGAACCCGAGGATACAGATCGGCCGCAAACACCGTCGCCGCCCACTGCCTGCACACTCTCATCAGGGCCACGCTCGACGATCGGCCCTTCTCAAGGGCCAGGACCTCGGACAACCCGTCGGTCAGAAAAAGGATCCGCTTGCCAAACTCGCTTAAACCCCGGCTCACATGCCGGACCCCCCAGACCAGAGCGCGCCCTTCCAAGATGGGCATCGCCTCCCGACGCTTCCAGCGACCGGCCGAAACGGTGGTCCAGGATCCCTGAAGGATTTCGGGCCCGATCTCCGGGACGGCCCCGCTCCGATCCACCTCGCCGAGGGCTTCCAGGTGCCGAGCCGTCCCGACGCGATCCAGGTCGTCCAGACCAGCCGCCGCGGCTAAGTTCAGCTCCTCCCGGAGCGAGGCGTCTCTCGGCCGAACGCGATCCTCGGCCCCTCGCGAGAAGCGCCACCGGTCCGACCACCGGCCAGCCTCTGCGATGGACTGAGGGTCACGCTCAGCCAAGCAAACACCACGACCCCAGGGGGAGGCGTCTGTACACCGCACCTTTGAGCTCCAAACGGCATCGAGGCGACGACGGAGGAGGGGGAGGAGACCTATTGCCCAACGAAGCTCCCTTCGCACGGCAGTCCACAACCTACGGCGAGTGTCGGCCCCCCGCTGACTGAAGGCGTACGCAGCAGAGAACACACACAGGGCCTCTGGCCGAATTCGAGCGGCGAACGTGAAATGTCCTATGATGGCCTCGAGGTCCCTGCCTGTAGCAAAGCCTTTCTCTAGGAGCCCCTCAATGCCGAGTCGGAGTCTCCACGCTCTGCGAGGGCTCACACGAACCTGAGGGCACTCGTCACTGAATTCCCATCCCAAGACGGACCCGCCGACTGAGCTCTCACGAGGATGCATGCTGAGCCCAGCGGCGGTCAGGGCGTCTAAAACGGAATCGGCCACAGCGTCGACCTCCTTGGCCTGGCGCCCGATGGCCGCGAAGTTGTCTACGCATTCAGTGTGAGCAAACCCCGAGCGGCCCAGTCGCACCCCGGGTTTCTTATCCGAGAGCTTGTTAGAGAGGGACACGCCGGGCTGCCGAAAGGCATGAAATTCATGAATTCGCTGGCACCACCACAAGGCGTGATTCCACCCCATCGGCACAACACGCAGGTGTGGGTACACGAGCTGGGTCGGGGAGACAGGGGCGCCGTCGAGCTCAACGACTCCGGCGAGCCCAGCGGTGACAGGGCGGAGACAGAAAAAGGGGACGAGCTCAGGAGGGAGGAGGAGGTGGTAAAAGGCATCCTGGATGTCGACCTGAGCAAGGCACACTGGGGGCCCCGGGTCAACTTCGAGGGACGCGAAAGATCCGCCTGTGGCAAGGTCGACAGAATCAGGAGATGCGAAGCACAAGTTAGACAACCGAGCGTCGACAATCAATCTTTGCTTGCCGTTCTTTTTCCAAACAGTAAACAAGCCTACTCGGGGCGATCCGTGCCGCCTCCACTCGAGCATGCCTGCGCCGTCAAGGGCCGCGAGGAGGCGCGCATGCCGGCGCGGCCTCCCCTGCAGCGAAGGATCGTAGTACGGGCGCTTCAAGGCCGACTCGGCCACCCGCGCCGCCGCCTCCGATGGAGGCAAGACTTTGTCTCTCAAAAAGGCATCGACTACCATTGGGCCCTCATCCCCGAGCAAAGTTGTCAGCGCTCGAGGACCGTCCCCACCAGCAGGCAGGGACAAGAGAGAAATGTCGAGCCGAGCGACAGACACCTTCTCGCCGGTGTAGCTGCGCTTGGCCAGGAGCTCCGCGAGGGCTCCCTGGCGAGTCAGGTCGGCGGGCGGCCATCCGAGCTCAGCTACCGCAGCCTGGATCATGCCCAAGCTGCGCTCCTGCCCGGCACTGGCCCGCTGTCCCTGAGGTTGCGGATCAGCAGACCCGCGGTCGAGCTCGTTCAGCGTGATCGCGCAGCAGCGAGCCCAGTCTTCGCAATGAGCTCGCTCCCCTCGGCGGCGCTGCCCCCGACGAGACTTTGGCTGACCGCCATCGTCGCTGCCCATGCTCGGCAGGCGGTAGTGAGGCAAGGGAAGAAGATCACGATTGACGACCCTGCCCTCGTGTGAGCCACGTACAAAGGCCGCGCTGGGGCTCATGTCCAGCGGCCCCCCTGCATACTCGCCATGGGATTGGGGGTTCCCACGGCGGCCCCATTCACTGGTCATGCTTGCCCGCGAGTCGCCGTCCCTCGCGGGCTTCCCTCATCTGCTTCCTGATGCCAGAGTCCCGCTCCAGCTCGGTGGCGAAGTAGGACAGCAGCTCCGGCGCCACCATCACCTCTCCGTCCTCGCGCGGCTTCCCGGAGAGGTCAGCCATCTCCTCCAGGCGCACGCCCTTGCCGCCCTTCCTGTCCTGATGCTTGCTGCCGTCCGCCTGCCAGCAGACCTCGTAGTAGAAGCACTCGATGAGCCGCATCCGTCGCTCGATGTACTCCGCCGCCGCCACGTTCACCACGTCATACTGGTCGGGGGTCCCCAAGCGCTCGATGGCCTTCGCCAGCGTCTCGTGCTCGGATACGGCCCACTGGTCCATCGCCAGCCTGCTGTCGGCTCGCCAGCGCCGACTCCAGCCCACGGGCCCCTCACTCCGACGGTCAAGGAACCTTGTGCACCACTCCGCCGTCTGCGGGCCCGACGAGGGCCAGTCCGTCTGCTTCACCTCGCTCACACCGCGCGTAACGTCGCGCCAGGGGCGGTGGCCGTCACCTCGAGAGTCCCTCTGCATCTTCAGCAGCCTCGCGTCATGATGGGCCTCCCTCGACCTGTACACCTCCACATCGCCGTCGCCGACGTCCCCCATCAGCACGGATACCCCCATCAGCACGATCACTCCCTTGCGGCCCGACACCATCTCCGACCCGCTGATCGCCTCGTCGTCCCCTCGATCCACGCTGCCTCCAGGGTACACCACGCTCGCGGCCGCCACCCAGCGCACCGTGTCGACCGTCACCGGCCGCACCGTCGGCCCCGCTGGCGGGCGGACGTCGCGGCTGACGCACGCGTGGCCCTGGAGCGCCGCCGGGCCCGGCCCACCGTCCTCGCCCTCGCCGGGAGCCCCCGGCGCGGGCGGCTGGGCCGGCACGTAAGCGGGCGCTCCCGCCGCCACACGGCCAGCGCCGCCGGCCTGGGCCGCGGCCGGCTTGGCGCCAGCGGCGCTCGCGGCCCCAGCGGCGCCTCCAGCTCCCCACACGGCGATGCCGTAACCGCGGCGCTGGTCCTCTAGCCCGGCGGCGTAGGCTCCCTCCTGCATCCGTTTGCGCAGCGTCTCCGCCGACGGGGGCTGATCGAAGTCATAGATCAGGTTCCGAGGTACCCTCTCCGGCACCTCGTTGTTCGGCCCCAGACATCGCACGGCCACGGCGTCGCTGAAGTCCCCGAGGTACATGTTACCATCCGGCGACAGGTCCTGCCGGCCTGGCGACTCGGCGACCTCCGCCTTGGACGTGCCCTGCGGGCTCTCGGGCGGCGGCGGGCACACCGGCGCCGCCGGCGCCTGGGGGCAGGCGCGGGCCTCCGCGGCCGGCACCGCCGGGCAGGTGACGCTCACCTGCGGGCGCGAGACCGCCGGCGCTGGCGGACACGTGCAAGTCGCCGCCGGCGGGCGGGGCGGCGATGCCGGGCACGGCGGCGACCGGCACCTCCCCAGCCGCGCGCCGCCCAGGCTGGCCACCCCCAGCACGGCGGCCCGGGCAAGCTGCCCCAGCATCAAGGGCCCCTGGCCCGTTTCCCCCCTGCCCCCCGGGGAGGGGGGGGCTCGAGCCAGGAAAAACTACGGATCGGTATTGACGGCGTGTTTCGGTCTTCAGCATATCATTAATCAGCATATATAATCAAATATTCTAATATATATATTATTATTATATATAAGTAATTATATATTATAATATATATATATATAGTAGGGGGGGGGGGGGGGTCTGGCGGCCACGAGCGCCAGCTTCGCAGCTGGGTTCAATGTGCGTCGATGCCACCGCCCCGTCCCTCCAGCGCGTTGGAGTGCAAGGTTGAAGGGCGACGCTGGCCCGACGCGGCGGCAGAAACCAGAGGGGGGAGGGGCGTGCAATGCAACAACTGCGTGCAATTCACCATGGAAGCGTGCCAACATGCATGCACGGAGAGGAGGGCGCGTAGGTATGCATACACACTGGCGTACAACCCCAGAAACGAGTGAGACGAATCATTGATATGATATGTCACAAACGAGAGCAGCTAGCTGCTCTCGTTTGTGACATTTCATTCACAAGCGTCGTAGACTACGCGTGGGCGCACGTTCTAACGGGGAGTGCACATTGCGAGCCACGCGCGCGTAACAACAAACAAACACAAGGGGGAGGGATGGGATGGACAACTGGAGATGGAGACAACGATGCTGATGGTGGTGATGAAGACGGTTGGCGTCAGTGGTGTGAGACACTTGTTGAGTGAACCCCAAAGGACCCCGTGGCATGGTGTGCCAAAATTATATTCCACGTACTTGGACGAATCGTTGAATAGAGCGCTTCGCAGCATTGCAATTTTCGCACATCGAGTATCCTTTCCGAACCGTCTGCATCGGCCCATAGATCTAGTTGGGCAGCTGCTACAACCTCACTTTTTTCTCGAAGGGGCGATGGCTGGAATTAGTGTCAAGCTCGTGTCGCTGGTGCTGACGTGGTCGGCTCTCGGCGCATGCACGCCACTGGACCCGTGCTGCGTGGCATTTGATAAGGCAGCGACCTCGTGCACTACTTTGCTGTCATAGGGAGCCCCAAGTGACATGTTGGCCGAAGGCGCATCGCTCGATATGGTGATTGAGTTTGTCAGGTCAACTACGATGCAAACCCCGCGTGACGTCGCACTTGTGGAGATCTGCGCTGGCGCTGCGGGCATCTCTCGGCATCTCCAGTCAGTGCATTCCCTCAGGGCGTTCACTGTTGGCAGGGAACATCACGATTGGCAAGATATATGTTCGCTCATGGGCACCCTGTATGTGTTATACTTGGTAAACTCAGTTGTGCAAGGTGGATTGGCATGGCTTTCTCCCGAGTGCAAGACATTCATTATGCTGGCAATGGGGCACACCAAACGATCTAATTCAGACCCCATCGGCACTGGTCATGAGTGCCGCCGCGATTGCGCAGAGGGGGGCTACGTTTCTACGCTAATGTCATGAACTGTCATTTGAAATGGGGGCAGACTTAGCATTGCATTGGTTTGAGGTTGGCGGGGGGCTACTGTCCACGTACACGCCCGCCCCCATTGGCCACCCCTGGATATCGACTCCCCCTCGAACTCGTTTCTGTCGTTACCTCGCCATTCCCCTGTTTCGCCTTCCAGTGGGCGCGTGGATAACGTCGCGCCAGAATCTTCCAGGGACATCGGTACTTCATGTTTCTTCCCACTCGACGACCCTCGACGTCGCTGAGCCCCCCCCCCCCCCCCTCCTTCCCTCGAGGGGTGTGCGTGTGTGTGTGCGTGTGTGTGCGCGCGTGTGCGTGTGTGTGTGGGGGGGGGGGGGGGGCTCAGCCGGAATGTCGACGTCCTGGATTCATAAGTTTGCGACCGCTGAAGGTCGTACATCAGGGATTTTTGCGCGTCTCGATGCATCTACTGGGTGGTGGAGGAGCCCAAGAACTCCCTCCTTTTCAAGATAGATCGCGTCGTGCTCGCGCTCGAAGTGGCCAGATCTAGAAACATCATTTCGTGGATGGGCGCATTCGGCGGCTGCTCGCCGAAGCCGCTCGAATTTCATGGGGCGCCGCCATTCCTCGAACAGCTCGTGAGAACAAAGCGTCAGTGCGATGAAAAGCTTGGCCAAGCCAAGCGCGCGCTGACCATTTCAACGCCCGCCAGCGAAGGCTCCAGTGGCTGGAAGAGCGGCACCTGGGTTTCTGGAGCTAAAAGGCTTCAGAAGAGCTCGCAGGTCTATCCGCGTGAGTTCTGCGCTCACGTCGCAGACGCGCTGGCCGATTGCTTGCCAGTGGAAGCGTGCACAGCGGCAACGCTTTAGCGTGAGGGGTGAGGTAGACAGACGATGACTACGACGATCATCAGGATAATGATGACAAAGATGACGACAATGATGATGACGGCGAAGGCGACGGAGGGGACGGGGAGGGCGAACAATAAGGAACATCAACAGTACAAACAACAGGATGGACGATCCACTGTGCGCGCGCATGTTGCTGATTCAGCGTGCACTGTTCTGCCTGGGGCACGCCCTGGGACACGCTGGAGTGGCGGGCAAGCCTGGAGAAGGCAACAGCTGATGCTGAAAAAACTTGTGCAGAGTGAAAAGCCAGTCAGCCCGATCGGTCGGCGCGCTCAATTTGAATTCTCGGCGTCACCAGTGCTGGTCCTAGCTCGGTGAACGCTTCGGGGGTGCCCTTAGGCCCGAGCGGGGCCTGGAACCGAACCGACAAATCTGACACCAAATGCATGGCATACGCCTTCGCGTATGATTACGGGTGTAGAATGGGACCCCCCCCCTTACTTTTGGTCTGCGTTTACCCCGTTATCCTTCGTTTGCCCTCTTCCTCCTCCTCCTCCTCCTCCTCCTCCTCCCCCTCCTCCTCTTCCCCTCCCCATCTTCCTCCTCCTCCTCCTCCACCTCCTCCTCCTCCTCCCCTCCTCATTTTCCTCCTCCTCCTCCTCCTTCTCCTCCTCCTCCTCCTCCTTCTCCTCCTCCTCCTCCTCCTTCTCCTCCTCCTTCTCCTCCTTCTCCCCCTCCTCCCCCCGCCCCTCCGCGCCCCCTTTCCACGGTTAGTCCCCCGCCTGTCGTCGCGCATCCCGTTGCCCTCGACGAGGGCCGATGTCTCCAGGTCGGCGGCGCTGGTTGGGGGTTGTAACATTCGGAAATCAGAGGAAATTCAATCGTTGCTTGCGTGCGATTTTGGTGAGCTGGTGAGGCGCAGTCTTTGCTTATGTATATTCTGGGGCTGACGCCATTCACCGCCTCGGGGCTCACCGGGTGGCTTCTGGTCGGCAGCGCCCCAGAAAAATTAGGCCCAACAACCCGCGCAAGGAACGCGCCCGCGAAAGGACCGCGCGAATTATCAGTCTATTTTACGTTTATCGCATGGTGTATATCGATAAGTTGCTTACTCACCATATTTAGTATAACTGGATAAGTTTGGCCCTTGAGACATTCACCTGATATAACATAAGCGCAATTCGCGCGCCTCGCGTGTACGACTTTAATGATTGATAACAAAACGTTATGAACCATCATCATCAGTACCACCATGATATGATGTATGTGGTATCAAGTTGATCCGTTCATATCAACATTGATCCGCTGGTTTTTGCGCGATATCATATTGATCCGATTTCAACGTCTAAGACGCAAAGGGGCTGGGCGGATCAATCTTGATGATCCACCCACCCTCTGGGTCGAGGCGCCGGCCCCCGGCCCTCGGACCCAGTCCCCCGTTATATGTACAATCCTGCACCACGGCAGGGCAGGCGGGCTCAATAGCCGATTGCGGTGGAGCCCCGTCGATGCGGAGCTTGGCCATCCAGACCCGCCGATAGGGATATCATCTTCTGGCACCCTGCCTCGAGCGTCGCAGCCTCCGCGCAATCATCCTCGCCCAGCAGCCCTCCGACATGAAGCCCAGCACGCCGAAGGTTCTTAAGGTAGACGTTCAAATACTGCTGCCCCTCGCCAGTGTGACAGTGGACGATTTTGAGCTCCACCGGCCCGAAGTTCACCCACTTCGGCTTGTTGTCGCGCGCGCCGCGAAAGTTGAAGTGGAAGCCTCCGGGCTGCGCCTTGTCTGCCCGCGCCCCTGTGACGTTGACCTCCTGGAAATAAATATCCGAGCATCGTGCCCCCAGTCGACGCGCGTCGACGCGCGTCGGCCCTGGAGATGTGCAATGGCCGTTGCACATCTCCAGGGGTCGTCTTGGAGCCGTCTTGGTGCCCTCCCGGAGCCATCTCGGAGCCTCCTGGGAGCCTCTTGGTGCCTCAAGGGGGCTTAAAGGGGCCCCAAGAGTGTTCGAAGAGGGCCTCAAATAGGGTGTGCAATTGCGCGCCGTCAGACGCCTTCTCGGAGCTCTCTTGGGGCCCTCTTGGGGCCCTCTTGGGATCCTCTCGGAACCTTTTTGGGCCCCCACTGGTCCCTCTTAGGGCCTTGTTGGGGCCCGCTTTTTTTGGGGGGGTTCAAGAGAGCCCGGAGGTCCGCGGGGATCTCCGGAGGTTTGGAGGGCCCGAGGGTGCCTAAATTGCATGGACATACGTACATCGTGCAGGACATACTTACATCGTGCAGGTGTGATGGCCAGTGCAGTTGGTTGAGGCTGTAGGTGAGGCCTCTCCTTCCTCCTTCCTTCTAGGCCTCCTCTCCCCGCCCCCCCGTCTCTGCCTGTCCACACTCCCGGAACGAAGGGCTGAGAGCGAGATGGATCCGCATCGCCTCAGGAGGGCTTTGAACGAAGCAACGCCAGCCATTACTCAATTTACCGTCAACCGTGATTGCTGACGCATGCGAGCACGGTGCCTGTACCACACGCCGGAAGGAGAATTCCCCCCATATCAGTGATGCTGGTTCCCAATGCAATGCAACTCCCTCCTCCTCCTCCTCGCCGTCTGCTTTCTTCTCCTCCTCCGCCTACCTCTCGCCCTCCTCGTCCTTTTTCCTATGGGGCGCGGGCGGGCCCGAAGACGCTGGTGACCGTCTCCAAAGAAGAGACGCTACTGAGCAGCCGCCCGCCTGGCAGGACCGC